CCCCCTCTGGAGCAGAAGACCTCGGCCCAGCTGGCCAGGGACTGGGGTCTGGGGGACGTGGACCACACCTTCACCGAGGAGGACTACAGGGAGCTCACCAACTACAAAGCCTTCAGCCAGTTCATGAGGTACTCGGTCGCACAAACGGACACAGAAACGCTCAAACGTCCCTAAAAAAAAAGGCTTTTATCTGGACCACGGACTAGGCTGGTCCCGATCCGATATCTGGATCGGATCGCCCCCCGATATTCGCAAAAAACTGCAGGAGAAAATGCAGATCCAGACTCCAGATCCAGTCTTTTGTTTTTTTTTTATCATTAGCATTAGCATTTGCTAACCCACAGGTCTGTGTCCTAACCATTTAGTTGTTATCAGCGTAAATCCCTGTTCAACATGAGTCTGACAACTAAGTAAGTAGATAAATAACTTTAAACTTTAACACATGCTCTGATAGGCCGGTATCGGTATCGGATCGGAAGTGAAAAAAGCTGGATCGGGACATCTCTATCGTGGACCACTACGTCCATCCTCTGGATTATAAACACAGATCTTGAACAGCTGTAGTAGAAAACCCCTCAGGGAGGCTCGGGACAAAAGCGTAAAGCTAAAGAAAGACACAAAAACGAGGACAATGACCTGCGATGAGTCAAAATCCGCCTGAAAAAGCTGCATAAAGATTAAAAAAACAGTTAATAAAGAGGCAAAAAGACATTCAGAGAGCCTAAAATTCATCACAAAGTGCACACACTGAGGTTCAGGGTAGTTTCCTGTTAGGACTTCATACGTCTTTAGTTAAGTTAGAGGTTCTTAACCTTTTCTGAGGTATTGAAATCCCCAGTTTCTTTAGTGATAAATAAAATATTATTGTTTTTCTAAATTCAACACATTTTTTTACTGGAGGACAAACCAACATAGAGCACGAACTCACAACAAATTATTAGTGTTGAATTAGTGTTATTACTAGTATTACTTTACTTTATTCTGGCCCCCAAAAAATATTTCCGCCCAATAAAAGAATTTCAGCCACCATATATATTTGTTTAGTATTTTACTAATCAAAAATAAATCAAATAATTTTTTTTTTTTTTAATTAATTTTTTTTAATAGCTTTTTTTTATTTTATTTTAAGTTTAATTAGTTTTTTGTCGTTTTGAATCCACAAAATACTTTTCTGGGGCCAGAATAACAAGTGTTCCTTTAGTTTTTCCGGTGCCAGACCAGAGAAAGGTGAAACTAAAATCCCGAGAGCTGAACGCGTTTCTCTTAGGCCGATGATCGCCAAGAAGAACCCCAAGATCCCCATGTCCAAGATGATGACCATTCTGGGGGTGAAGTGGAGGGAGTTCAGCTCCAACAACCCCTTCAAGGGCAACGCCGCCGCCGTTGCAGCGGCTGCGGCCGCCGCCGCCATCGCCGTCGCCGAGCAGGTCTCCGCGGCGACCGCCTCCCCCGAGCCGCCCCCCCCCCAGCCGCCGCCCGTCAGGAAGGCCAAGACGAAGGAGGGCAAAGGTCAGCGGGGGCCGCACGCCATTTTGTTCGGATTTTTTAAATAGTTTTTTATTTTATTTTTTTTCCGATATCTCGGACCTGATTATTTTCCGGTTTTGTTTCCAGGCCCGGGATACAAGAAGCGGAGCAAAAGCCCCCGGGTGCCGGACAGGAAGAAGGCCCCGGCCGTGGCCAAGGCCAAGAAGATGGCGCCCATTCGCATCAAGCTCTCGCCTCTGGTCGGCGCCAAGAGGAAGAAGAGCTGCTCTGTGAGT